TAGAACAATAGCCTCACTTCCAAGCTAGCTCGCAACATGAGGCTGTTCTTCTCGTGTGTTTATTTTGCACTAAAGCTTGTAAACTTCATGTGCATTCTCTACACCTTGTTTCCTGTATTTATTTATTTATTTATTTTAGTTTTCGTGGAAGCGTTATAGCGCATCATACAGATCTGGCATAAACTGTAGCAACTACAGCAGTTTGGGCAATTTTAGGTGTTGTTTTGTTTACGTAGATATTTTCAGAATCAACAAAAATACTGTTTTGGGAAAACGTTTTCATGTGGACAAGGCCGTTTAGTGACAAACTTTTTAAATTACTACTACTGACCTGAACTTGTAGTTTAAAATCTTGTAAAAAGGACACACAGAATTGGGTTTTGTTCCATCACAGCCATAGTTCTTCATTAATTCTGCGGCATTAAATGAAATTTTATTTCTTTTTTCTTTTCCTTTTCCATCCTACAGTAGCTCTTTTGGCAGAAGACACGAAGACTTGAGTTCCTCTACCACCTCCTCTTCCTCCTCGACAACCACCACTACCACCTCCTCGTCTGTTACCTCGCCCACAGGCCATCGCGGCCTGCTCTCCAACTTGGGCTCCTCTTCCACTCGAACTGGCTCCACCAGTCTCACCAGCAGGTAAATGTTTCACACTCTATGGAATATTTCCCATAGCTGTAAATCACAGCTTGTAGTTTGTGTCCGCTGGGTTTAGTTCACCCTGTTGAGTTTAAACTCAGCTGGAGTTCAACTCCTCCACGTCCTGGAATACGTAATACGAAAAAGATTCTTATATAACCAGCAAACGTGAATAAAAATGAATCTAACAACCAAGTTTATTTGTATTAAAGCAGATGAAAAAGAATCAGACAGGTGGGAGTTAATGTTTAAAATGTTTGTATTAACAGGTACTGGTCAGAGGAGAGTGCAGAGAGGGAAAAGGAGAAGGAGAGAGAGTCTGCTGCAGTCATTCCCACTATAAACACTGGCTCTACCACAACCACCACATCTACCACTACCACCACAGCCATATCTACCACTACCACTGGCACTGGTTCAGAGCGACGCAGGTAAAAAAAGAAAAAACAAACAAAAAAAACATTTATTTCCTGTTTGCTTTTGACTCTGCTCACCTTATTTTGATTTTTTTTTAATGCAGCTTAAGAACACTTTTTTTTTTCCTTCCAGCTTTTAATACACTTAGCAGCGCCGAGTCTTAAAGGCTGCCCTCAGTCATACAGTAATCCAGATGCTTTGTCTCAGTTTGAAGCCAGGCGTGTGTCTGTATGCGACGACAAAGTGAGGGAGAGGGTATGTTTCTGCTCTTGTGCGTTCAAGTGGAGTCGAGCGTACGTCTCTGTGCAGCAGCGCTGAAATAAGCCACCTGTCACTGTGGGAATAGGGCAGGGCCGTTTAAGAGCCTGGACCGCTGCAGAAACCTCCAAATAAGGAAAGTGGGCCGAAGTAGCACATTTTGCTCAAGGCCAAAGTTGTGTTGAGCCCTGAAGGAGTTCATACTTCTGTGTGGCCAACAGAAGCTGGAACAAAAACCTGCCATTTTTCTTTTTTTCTTCCCCTTTCTGTCTCTCTCAAGAGTTCCAGTTAACACAGCAGAAGGTTCAGTTAGAGATCTGAATTATTTTATGTCTTTGGTTTGCATTTCAGTTTTATTTTTCTTTTGAAAGTGAAATATTTTATTTCATCTATCACTAAAAACATTGTTACCATCTATCAATATTCTGCATTTATATGCAGATATGTGTTTAGTAGTAGTAGTGGTAGTTCAGTCGAAGCTTCTTTTAATTTGATCTCTTTAAAAATGTTGACATGACAATGCAACTCTCTGGAAACGATTGTTGTATTGCATCAGAAATAAGAGAAAATAATGTTGGCAGGGAAAAGTTGGATACATGATGGATGGAGGTTCGAAGAATGTATCAGAGTTCTAAAATTCTTTATTAAAGACACTTACCGTATTTTCCACCGTACCCGTCGCACCGCGTTATAAGTCGAATCGGTCCAAATGTGTCTAATAAAGTGGAAAAATCCTTACATATGTCGCTTCACCGTATACGTCACATCTATTACGCGTCACCACCGACAACCCGGAAACGTTGGCCGGTGTTGTGCCAAAAATCGATTGGCTGCCAAATGGCGGCCGTGGCGGTGTGCATGGGAGGACTTTAACAAGAATTTAACAAGACTAACACTTAAAAACAATTATTTGTTTGCTCGAAATTATATTAATGGTGTGTCTCAGTCTAACTTTTGCTTAATAAAAGGACTTTGATGGTCAAATCAGCTGCATTTTCAAAAGCCAATACACGGAAACAAGAGAGGGCAACTTGGTCTGTGGCAAGCCGATTGTGTCATTAATAGCCACTTTTACCTATTACATGACACAACGGTAACTTGCACTGAAACTGCCCTGCTGAAAGTCTTTAACGACATCTTCAGATCCACAGATACCGGTGATTCTGTGCTGCTTGTCCTGTTGGACCTCACAGCTGCCTTTGACACCATCGACCATGAGATCCTCATTGCTAGGTTAGAGCAATGGGTGGGCGTCACAGGATCAGCCCTCAATTGGTTCAGATCTTACCTCGCTGACAGATCCTTTTGTGTCTCCATCAAGGATTTTAGTTCCGCAGAGGCAGAGCTTAAATGGGGGGTTCCGCAGGGGTCCATCCTGGGTCCTCTCCTATTCTCTTTATACCTGCTGCCGCTTGGTGCTATTTTCTGGAAACACAACATGCCCTTCCACTTCTATGCCGATGACTGTCAAATTTACTTCCCCCTAAGACACAATGGTACATGCTCGATTCAACCTCTGCTCAACTGCCTGGCTGACATCAGGGACTGGATGGTTTTACATTTTTTGAGTTTCAATGAAAAGAAGTCTGAAGTCATGTTGTTCCCTCCCAACGACACAATCACAAACCACTGTATCGACCTCTCTGCTCTAACCCTGTCAGAAAAACAAAGAGTCACTAATCTGGGCGTGATAATGGACCCTTCCCTGAAGCTTAACAATCATGTAAACATGATTGTTAAATCATGTTTCTTCCAACTGAGGCAACTGTCTAAACTGAAGCCCATATTGTCCAAAAAGAACCTGGAGACAGTAATACGTGCATTAATTACATCTAGGCTTGATTACTGCAATTCACTCCTGTTTGGTATCAGTCAGACCTCCATAGCACGACTACAACTGGTCCAGAATGCAGCAGCCCGATTTTTAACCAGTACAGGCAAAAGAGAGCACATTACACCAGTTTTGGCCTCACTGCACTGGTTACCGGTTCACTTTCGAATCCAGTTCAAAATACTCATGTGTCTACAAATCACTGAACAGTGTCGCCCCCCCATCTCTCTGATCTGCTACAACCGTATGTCCCACCATGCTCCCTGAGGTCAGCGGACCAGTTACTCCTCACAGTTCCAGGAACTCGTCTTAAGCGCAGAGGTGACAGGGCCTTCTCTGTAGCAGGACCAAGACTCTGGAACGAGTTACCTCAGCTTGTCAGACAGGCCCCCTCCCTCTCGGTTTTCAAGTCCCGTTTAAAAACTCACTACTATTCAATAGCTTTCAACACCAGATGATCTGTGTTTTGATCCTGTATGCTCCACACTGGTTTGTCACCATTATCTGCATTGTTTTTTGTCTATATTCTGATTTACCTCATTTTGTATTTTGCTTTGTGTGTTACCTGTTGTTTTGTCTGTACAGCACTTTGGTTGGCCTTGTTGCTGTTTTAAGTGCTTTATAAATAAAGTGGTATGGTATGGTAACGGCTTGTCATACTATAAAGTGCCATCTAGTGGCTGAAAATGTTATTGTTCAATATTTTCAGTCAGAATGAATGAAAACGGTCATATCGCAGCCAAAAATTGGTTTATAAATATGGGAAAAAATCATAAATATGTCACTTTGGTGTATAAGTCGCAGGGCATGTACATTATGCAAAAAAACTGCAACTTATAGGCCAATAAATATGGTAATGTTGGAAATGTATCTTATTACAATAGTACAGGTTTGTTTGTTTTTTTAACCTTTGTGTGTTTTTGTGTACCTTTCTCTCAGGTCGTACCTGACGCCGGTGCGAGATGAGGAGTCGGAGTCTCAGAGGAAAGCTAAATCCAGACAGGCTCGCCAGTCGAGGAGGTCTACACAGGTCGGTTCATTTCTATGATGTAGTGAATAAAGGAGTGTTGGATCCATCTGCAATTAGATTCTGTGCTGGCAGAAATAAAAAGATTTGCTCATTTCAAAGTATATTATCTAAAAATACTTCTGATTAATACAGCATCAGGTCCAGGTTTACAAGTATTGGTTTCATTTAAGAATTAATTTTTCTTCAAGGGTGTGACACTGACTGACCTGCAAGAGGCTGAGAAGACAATTGGTAGGGGTCGTACCCCAAAGACCCGTGAGGAGGAAAAGGAGGAAAAAGAGAAGCAGGACAAGGAGAAGCAAGAGGAGAAGAAGGAGACCGAGACAAAGGAGGACGATTACCGATCAAAATACCGGAGTTTTGAAGAAGTATATTTATTTTGGGGGGTTTTGCAATAAGGGAAATAGACTTTGAACTTTTGACATTGCTGTCCCTCTAAATTAAATTTCTTTCCTCTCCAGCGCTATCGGCCTTCATCTTCCTTTTCCACCTCGGCCATTTCCACAGTCAGCACTGCCTCTACAGCTCCCTACTCCAGCAGCACATTATCCTCCAGTTCCAGCTCGCTCAACAGGCCCAACAGTCTAACGGGGATCACCTCCTCTTACATCCGCTCCTCTCGAGATACAGAAAAGGGTCCGTGTCTTTTTTTTTAAATCTCATCACGATGCGTCGCTTTAGCAACTTGTGTTGACAATTGACGATTTAAAAATATGTTTAATGCTGTAAATATGTTATAAAAATAAAAGATCCTCACTCGTTCAATGATGTGTACGTTTTTCTACAAAGATGTCAATCAGCTGCATTTTTTTTAGATTTATAGTGCGTCCTACTATGCTGGAAACCCCCTCCTCAGGTTAACGTTTACATGGGCAGCGTGCCACAAGCTGATTAAGGGATTGGGTTGCCTTTTAAACTACCCACCTCCACACAAATCCACAAAGTTTTAGCTGTGAAAACAGAAAGCCTCTTATGTTCACTCAGCTGGAGGAGACACTGACCTCGTTGTTCTGCAACTAAACACCTTCTAAGCTCTGGCCAGGTTCACTTGTCAGGATTGTTCCTTGTTTCACCTGAACTTAAATTCTTGATCAGATTATTTGGGTATTTGCACACTGATGTCAAAAAGGGTTAAATTTGTCATTGGTCAGGGGTCAACAAAAGGTCATGGTATGATTAATGAATAAATGCTGTTCTTTAACCTCAGATCTTTTACCTTACGTTTACATTTCGATTGATACACGTCATTTATCCGTACAAAGCCTGGATATGCAGCATCAAAATGTTTTTTTGGCCTGTATTTGATGTTTTCCACATCATCTGTTTTCCTTGATCGTTTTTCTGAATAAACAGAAGCGGACAAGAAAGAGGAGGAAAAGGAGGGCGAGGACAAGTCTCAGCCCCGCTCCATACGGGATCGCAGGCGGCCCCGCGAGAAAAGACGCTCCACCGGGGTGTCCTTCTGGCCTCAAGATGTGAGAGATTGGTCTTTGTGAGAGCAGCGCTTTTGATCACCGTTGATGCGTCTAACCGTCGTTTTACGTGTGATTTTTGATTCCAGGGTGATGAAAATGACCCTGAGCAGCAGTCTGACACGGAGGAGGGCAGCACCAAGGGGGAGCCACAAGTAACTACTCGCACACAAAAGACGAGACTTGAGCCCGTCAGTCAAATCAAACCTCTTTCTTTAATTCTGCAATCTGTTTGAATTCTGCTTTTGTTCTATTCTCATCCCTTTTGTCTCATGTCATCACGGCCATGGTCTCCAAAGCTACGCTATCCTCCCCTCCCACGTCCATTTCCTTTTCACTATCTGCTACCTTTGATTTTTGTTTTGTTTTCCCATTTCCATCTTCCGGTGATTGTTTCTTTGGTGGCTTTGCAAACCGTACGTGTGCTCAACCACAGATCATTAGGTTGTCAAAGCGTGCGTGCGCACAAAGGAAAGGAAGTTTGAGTCTTTAGTTTTTACGGCTTCATAAATGAATCAGTCTGGTAGTCTTTTGGGACTAATAACACTTGTGAACATTTTTGTGCAAAATAAATTGTTTTGAATGAAACCAAAAGGAATAAAAAAAAAAAAAGGTATTTTAGCCTCTTGAATTTAAATAAATATCTTCAAATATCCTCATCATCCATGGTTGAAGTAACATAAAGCAGAAGGGCAGCAGTGTGGAAACTGCTTGCCAAGTGAACTTCCTGTTTGGAAAGGACTGTCATTTGCAGTATAACAGAGAGAGAAGATAGTTGTTGTTTGAGCACGGCCATCAGGGACACGAGGAAGACTCACGCCAGCTGTTACCCATCACTTACAGTGGGTGGAGCAGGAGCAAAGCACTAAATAGGAAGCAAACCATTATCTCTGCATTTAGACATAAATGTACAGGAAATTCTTTAGGTCTTTTCCAGCTACTAACAGACAACTCGGAGTAGTTAACCCCTCTTCTTGTCAGTGACTCTGCAATGATTTATCACTGATTTCACTTGCATAAATTACTCTTTTATCCTGACATTTTGTTTTTTATTCATTTCCTTACAGAGCGACAGATTGTCCAGGTGAGTTACACCTTCTTCGTACGGTCATTTGCGCTCGTTGTCAAAACTCTGTTACAATCAGTGGCTTCTATTTACTGTTGCAGGAATGAGAGCACTTCATCTTTAGATCGCAACGACGCTCTTTTTAGCCGTTACGAGAGCCGAAGGCCTTACTCAAGCCGACTGGACAGAGACGACTCCACTGACTACAAGAAGGTACACACTCGGTTTACACTCATCGTATGAATTATAAGAACAAGAGCTATAGTGCAGTTGAAACCAGATGTTTACACATGTATAAAAAGACCACCATCTTTTTTTCCCCTCGCTGTCCATGTCAGTACAGGACTCCTCCTTTCTCTGTAGATGATTCTTACCAGCTGCAGTCAGCATCTTCACAAGGTCTTTAGCTTTTGTTTTGGGGTTGTTGTGCACATTTAACACAAACAAATTCATCTTGGGGACACAGGACCCCGTCTCCTTCATGAGGGGTATGGTGTATAATTGTTCAGATGAATGTGGAACACTAAGGCATCTGGAACTGCACCCAAGGATGAACCAGAGGTTGATAATCCTCTTCCTGATATTATGGCGGATTTATTTTGAATTTTCTCACACTGTCACACAAAGAAGCAGTGTGTTAGAGGTGTGTCCTAAGGAGCATCCTCAGGTGTGCCTCCAGTTACCTCAAATGTTGACAACTAACCTGTCAAAAGCTTCATAACATCAGTCTGGGCTTTCCCAAAGTGTCTAAAAACAGTAATATTTATGTACCATAATTTCCACCTTAAAAGATGCATCAGTCCAATTATGTCTAATAAAGTGGGGAAAAAACATAAATAAGTCGCTTCACTTTATAAGTTGCATCTAATATGCGTCACCGCCATGAAGCTGGCTTTGTATGGCAAGCCAAGTGTCATTAATAGCCACTTGTACCTATTAATGAGACACTTAACTTGCCATATTTCTCGAGTGCCCTCTAGTGGCTGAAAATGGTAGTGTTCAATATTTTCCATGTCAGAATGAATGAAATCGTCAGATCTCAGCCAAAAATTGGGTTAAACATATGGGTGAAAAACGTATATTGGTCGCTTCGTACTGCAAGTTGCAGGACTTGCTAATTTATGCAAAAAGATGCGGCTTATGGTCCAAAAAGTATGGTACATAAACTTGTGACTTTGGGGGGGGGAGTTATCCAAAATTCCAACAATGTTCAGTCAGGTCATCTGGACGATTTCTTTTGTTGCTGAAATGTTTCGTCCTTCATCCAAAAGACTTCTTCAGTCTGAGGAGCCACCAAACAAAACTGATTTCTGCAAACAACATACTCCATAGTGGGGGAGAGAAAAAAAAAACAACATTGCATGGATTATTACCTGGATTCTTGAGCATGAACTTTGGTGTGTTGAACCACTTCGACAAGGCTTCCTTTAGCAGAGTTGATGGGGGAGAGGGCGGACCCCAGAGGCCATTTTGTCACATCAAACTGTTTTGTTTCCACTCTGGGAATGAGCTGTTTGTGGGATTCAGTTCGGTTTGGTGGGCTCCTCAGACTGAAGAAGTCCATCAGATGATGGACAAAACGTCTCAACAAAAGAAACCGTCCAGATGACCTGACTGAACATTGTTGAATTATTACCTGGATTATTGAACATGAACTTTGGTGTTTTGATCCAAAGAAATTCTTTCATTATTTGGGCTTTTAGAAAAAGGCAATACATTGGGAATCCTTTGTCCTAAAACAGGAAGTGTTTAGTCTGATTTGAAGTCAGACAGTGAGGAAAATAATAGTTTTTTTTAATACATTGTATGTAAACATCTAGTTTCAACTGGATATGATTGTGTGACTTTGCCTCAAAGAATTTGACAAGTTTATTGTAGAGTTTAACTTTTTATTCTGACGTTGAAATGATCTTTGTACAGCTCTATGAGCAGATCTTAGCTGAGAATGAGAAATTGAAGGCCCAGTTACGTGACACGGACCTGGAACTGGCAGACTTGAAACTACAACTAGAGAAGGCCACCCAGGTGAATTTACACTACTTTATCTATAAATAAACAACCTTTTTGCAATAATTTTCTTTTCTTACGTGCTCCATCTGTTTTTGCAGAGGCAGGAACGTTACGCTGATCGATCACAGCTTGAGATGGAGAAAAGGGTAATTACAGAACCAGTTCACCAACCTTCCATTAGTGCTTCTGTGTTGTTTAACTCCATAACTGAAAAGATAACTTCTGCCTCTTGTGTGTCTCAGACTAATTTTTTTAAAAACAACTAGTGTTTATTCTGGTTAAAGCACCTCAGTAACACTGCGAATGGGTTTATGTCTGAAGGTAACAAGCAGGCCTCAGTATCATCTTGGTGGTGGTATGATGTTTCCCTGAGTTTTGGAACCGTTTCCTCTCTACTGCTGGCTGTTGTGTCACTGTAGCTGGTGTCAACGGGACGCCCATAACACTGCCACCATTTTGTCTTTTCACCTGTTTTTAGACGTCAGTGGCAGCGTGTGGTCACCCCCTCTCTGTAGACTGCTTTTTTTTTTTTTTACGTGTGGACTTGTCTCATTTAGCGCAGACAATGTTTGCAGGATTGTGACCCAACTTGTGCATGCATGTTTTTATACTTCATATAGCCATGACATATTTAGAAATGTAGCAAAATTTACTAAAACACACATTTTAGATGCTTGTCTTGAGAACTTTTTATTTAAAAAAAAAAAGGACCTCAACTTTAATTTCCACACATTTCAGACGATCTGTGAAGATCCATTTCTGCCTGTAGAGAAATAAATGCCGTTTAAATCGACATCTGTTGGTGTGAACTTGCTGCTGCTTGCACACCCCTCACCAGACATGCGAGTGATGATGTGTGTGCTATCACAACACCCTCACAGTATTCCACTCCATGTTTGAAGCTTTTACCGATGCGTTCTAGTAAACTTTTTTCTTTTGATATGTGTATATCAGCGTTAACGTCCCTTTTCCCAACCAACAGGAAAAAAGAGCTCTAGAAAGGAAAATTTCTGAGATGGAGGAGGAACTAAAGGTACCGTCACACACACACAGATGGTTTATTAGCACATTTTCAGTGTAAAATGGGATTTTTAAACTGTAAAACTAGAAAACTTTTAACAGCAGGAAACAAGAGCAGTCTTATAACCCAGTGGTTCCCAACCCTGGTCCTTGAGGAACACCATCCTGCATGTTTTAGTCGTTTCCCTGCTCCAACACGATTAAGTAATGTAATTATTTCCTCGTGTTCTGCAGAAGCTTGATAATTCCCCCATTCATTAAAACTAGGTGTGTTGGAGAAGAAACAACTAAAACGTGCAAGATGGTGTTCCTCAAGGACCATGGTTGGGAACCCCTGGATAACCTACCAGGTGGTAAACAAGACGATCAGCATTAAAACTTATGCACTTGAACGATCAGGTTGTATTTGGTTTTACGGAAGACTGAATGAAGTTCGAGGAAAGACGTCACTAAAACCAGCAGCAAGCTCGTGCTCCTCCATCCCTGTGATTCCAGGTTGTTTATTTTTAGCAGCTGGCAGATTTGATCAGTCTCACTTTACCATTCTGTCTATAAGCATCATGCAGAAGCGGAAAGCTCTTAATCATTCCTTCAATGTCCTGAATCTCCCATTTTCTAACAGCCTCTCTCTCTCTCTCTCTCTCCTGTTTTCCCCTTTTCCTCCTCTTGGCCCCTCTTCTCCTTTAATTTAAATTGTCCCGTGTCTCGTTAATCCTTTCTCTCTTGATTTGTCTCTCAAAACGCGTCTTAATTCTCCTCCTTTGCTACTTTTTTGTCATCTCCTCCCATCCCGTGTTCTTTTTCCTCTGTCCTCCACCCTCCCTGCAGAACCTCCCCCAGGTAAAGCAGGTTCAGGCCCTGCGGCAAGCCAAGGAGCGGCTGCAGGCTGAGAATCGGGCCCTGGCCCGAGTGGTGGCGAAGCTCTCGCAGTCGGCCTGCAGCCAGCTGCCCGCCGTTGACCTCTAAGCCACGTCTGTCTGTCCACCACCATTTCTTCTTTCTTCTTCACTCCCCCCCCCATCTTTTCCCCAGCCACATTCTTCTCATGCTTCATTTGTACCCCGCACCCATAGACAGGCAGGTGTCCAACCGTCCAACTTTGACTGGTTTGTCTTTTACCTCCCCAGAGCTTTTGTTTTTTTCAGATTGGGGAGGGTGTTTATTTGTATTATTTTTATTAATTTTACAACAGGACACTCTCCTTTTACAGTACACCTCTAGCAGGTGTTTTTTATAGTTAGCAGTGTAGGAAACTTACTCTTAAACGTGTCGTAGACAAATACAAATACTAGTAAGTTGTAGTAAAAAGAAGGAAAGTGTCCTGTTTGAGGTTTCCTCAGAGGGAGCTCAGTTTGGCCTGTTCTGGCATCTTTGCATGAAGTTGCTTCTCATAGCATCTTTTTTTTTTCTTCCCAAATTGCCAGACTGAACCTCGTCCTTTTACCACTACAGCTTCTTTATGGACGACTTCAATGTTCAAGTGCATGTTTTGCATATTTTGAATCTGCCAGTGTTCGTTAAAAATGTAAACATACATTAAAGTGTTGCACGTTTCTGTAAATACTGAAGTATAATTAGACTGAAATCTTGTGAAGAATCTCAGTGTTGAACATTTCTTTTCTTGTCTATTAGAAACTGCAACTCATGTAAATGCAACCCCAATTTTGGAAGCAGTTAAGATGTGTAAAATGTATTGTAAATGTCAAACTGTTGTATTCACAGTGGAGCACAGTGAACGTATTAAATGTTTAAACTAGGAAATTTTAGCATTTTTAGGGGAAAAATGGTCACTTTGAATTTAATGGCAGTAACTAAGAACTGAGGGGAGCAGCTGCTGGAGTTTTTGGATGAGAATGTTGTCCTATTAAAGTTATATTTATTTATTTATTTATTTTGGAGATGCACGATATTGCATTTTTGGCCAATATATTAAAACTTATTTGGCCAATAACTGATAGCAATACCGATATTTTTCCCCTACACCTACTTACAGAGACTACACAGCTTTCTCTGCTGTGGAATTAAAACACTACATCATTCTGCATGGTCTTTGTCACTTTGTCCTGCTACCAAATCCAGATGTCAAAAAAGGGGGCTGAAAATGATGCAACACTTCAACTTGGATTATGTTTAATGTCAAATTTATTCATGACCTTTACTCTCTCTAACAGAACAGTGCACATTTGTACCTTTTTATATCGGTGCGTTATTTTGATGAAGTGGCCTATGTTCGATATTTAACTTTATCGCTAATATCAACTGATACCATGCTGATAATATTGTGCATTCTTTATTTATTTATTTCTTTCTTTATTTATTTTCCTCTTTCGGCTGCTTTGTCAGTGGTCGTTACAGCGAGCTAACTTGTTCTGAGATCCAGCAGTTTGTTTTTTTACGCCTTCCTGACACACCCACAGCCCTCTGTGTGGAGCAGAGAGCTGCCTTCTAGGGTGCCCAGGGAGCATCTGGGGGGTTGAGGGTCTTGCTCAAGGGCACAGAGTGGTGCAAATGAGGGTGGAGGCAGGTGTAGGGTGCTTCACCTATCCCATCCACTTTTGATGTAGTCGGTCAGGGATTTGAACCGGCGACCTTCCAGGCTCGCCTCCTCTAATCTCTGCAGGTCTGCTGTAGGAGTCTCATCTGTTCAACAGTCCTGGGACATCTTGGACATGTTGTTTCATGAGGCAAATGATTTTGGAGAGACGACTGTACCAGTTCAGCTCCGGGACTCTCTTCCTTCAAAAAAGCGATATGTGAACACCATCACAACAGAATGGCTCAATTCTGTTGTGATGGTGTTCACATATCGCTTTTTTTTTTTGCATGATAGAGCTTTAACCAGCATCTGTGGATGGCACAGTGAGCTGTGTTTACAGACAAATGTTCCTAAGCCTATATCAATTAGGCCTAGTTTTAATGCAGCCCCACTTGAGGAAACAAAATGACCTCTTTTTCTCCTAAAAATGGTTCAGTTTCTCACTTTAAACATTTTAATATTGCTTTCAGTTGTACCGGTAACTGGCATTTTGCACATCTTAACTTCAAAACTGGGATTGCTTCTCGTATGTAAAAAATCTCCGGACCTTTATTTGTATCAATCCTGTTGCAAGTCATTTGTTTTGAACTGTTCCAAGTTATCAAAAGCACGACATTGTGGGTAAAAACCCAGTGTCATGCTCTACAGGAGAGTATTTCTCCAGTTGCATGTAGCTAATCATTTTGAGGTCACATCGGCTTCACTTTGAGTTTAAATTTAAAGAGAAACGTTAAGAACTATTATGGTTTTTTGTCATTGAATGAAGTATTAACAACTGGGATTTTGATTCTCTGGCTGAGAGAACAAAAAGACAACCAGATGTTTAGTCGTATTTTTTATTTATTTTCCTCCACAAACTTTAGATCTTCCTAGAATAGATGTTTTAAAGTGCCAGCCTTTTTTTTGCCTTCAGGTTTTTGATTTGATGGTAGTCACAGATATTTGCCGTCAGGCTCAGATGAATTCAAACAGAACATTTTTGTATGTGTGTGCGTGTGCGTGTGTTTTCCTCAGACTCTGCATGGCTTTCTCAGGTTTTTTTTTTTTTTTTGTCCCGTGTTGTGCCCACTTTTACTTTTCTCTCCTTTTTGACGTGAACCAAAGATCATTTTCTTTTTCTGTCACAAACAAGAAGCCAACAAAAAGATGCCGTGTGACTCCTAAGACTGCTTATTCAGGCTGCAATTAACAGTTTGTAAAATATGCCCGACTGGTTAAACAACTCAAGTTTGTGTCGAGACTCGTCTAAGCCTTCTCTCTCTCTCTTTCTCTCTCTCTCTCTCTCTCGGTCTCCTCCCATCTTCCCTTTGTTCCTTTTACTCCATTTCAGATGCTCCCGGACTTGAAAGCCGACAACCAGAGACTAAAGGACGAGAATGGAGCGCTCATTCGAGTCATTAGCAAGCTTTCCAAGTAGACCCCCCACCCTCACCCCCATATTCTGCACCCGCTAGTCCCCCCATGGCAGCGACTAATGGAATTGCACATTTAGATATTAATTGCAACAGACATCAGAGACGAGACTCCTCCTTCTTTAGTTCCTCCCAACTCTGTATCTGTTTTTGTTTTTGTTTTGTTTGCTCCTCCACCTCCGCAGCTTCCATCCGTCTAGTTCCACCCCTTTGACCGTGACCTTCTCAGCTGCTGTCCCGATAGAACCACTGAGTTTACAGAGCAACAACACAAGGAGGAAGGGTTGTTTGATCAAGCATGTGAGAGCATTGTGAGCGGGGAAGCCTGAAAACTATTTAACCAATAAGCCTTAGTTGTATATAAAGAGAAAAGAAAAAAAAAACACACACACTTGCATTGATCTCTTCTCTCTCTCTGCTATCACTGAAGACCAGATATTATCCTGCACCTGATTTTATTTGTGCCACATCATTCGCTCCTATTTGATGTCATTGTTCGTGTGCAGTTTTCTCCTCCCACTCCGTTTGTTTTAAAGCGCCACTTCTGCCTGATATCTGCTCCCCGTGGCTGCCGTCTCCTTTAATTTATCCTTTTGGTTCACACACACTTACAGATCACTACCACGTGTTTCTTTCTTTCTTTTTTTTTTTTTTAGTTGTATCTGTTTATCTTCCTCCAAGAGGGAAACATTTGGGTTCTCGCTTTAGCGGAACGAGGTGGACCAGGTGGAGTTTAGGCTTTCATTGTATGTGCAATATGCATTTGTTTGTTTTTTTCTTTTTAAAATGCTTTAATGAGTTCATCACAAGTAGGGTTTTTCACTCCTGACGCGTCCCTTCGCTCTTTCTTCCCCTCCCGTTTTTTTTTAAGTTTATATCCAGTTTATATTCTGTATTTCTCACGTTGTTTTAGCAGGTACTGAGTGATTCTGTATATACCTGTATGTATTTAGTTTGAGACCAGCACATGGCATGTGTTTATGGATCCCGTCTGTTACTATTGAGTCAAAACAAATCCAGAGGACAAAAAGTTTTAATTCTTTTCTTTTTATAGTCGAACATTGAAAGCAGTGCAGTAAAACCTTTCTCCAACACAGGACCGGCAGTGTTCAGTGCTTTATTTTTTTCTTCTTCCCTCTACATAATTGTGAAATTTAAATAAATTTATTGCTTCACTACATTTCACTTTCATTGTATTCAATATCTTGGAGTAGTGCTGTTTTTTTTGTTTTGTTTTTTTTCCAATTTTTTTTTTTTAATTGAGCTGTAGTATAGCCAAAATGCTGTCACTTAAAAAAATAAAAATAAACAAAAATATATATATATATATATATATATCTTAGGTTTTGTTAACCCTTTCTACAATGTCTACATGCACTGTTGATGCCATGTGAGGAGTCTTGTCAGGTTGAAGCTAAACCCCACCACTAGATGTAGTCCATTCAACATTTTATGCATTTCAGTGGCCTTTTAAAGATATTTTAGTACAATAAGTTAAAAAAAAGAGTCATTGCAGATGGACTGATGGCCATCTACTCTGGTTTAGACTATTTTTTTCTTGTTTTTTTCCCCCTGTCTTATTGTAAAATAGGTGTGTGGCTTAATACATGCAAGCTGTGCTGTGACTACCAACCACTGAAGAGTTCATTAAAAATAAACTTGTACATTGTAAAGTTCCCATGTCTCGTTATTTTATTATTTACCGCTTTAATACGGGTTCGATCTTGTAACGTTAACCTGTTATCTGAAAAATCTGGAATGGGATTGAAGCAAAAAGCCAGAGGAATTTCATTTTTGTCTCTTCTTAAATTAAATAAAGTTTCTAAAATAGTTTTCACTTAAAGTTTATATATTCCCTGCAGAATTAAGTCATAAAACTCATGTTTTGCCACTTTTCTTAAATGGTCCTCTCTGAGCATCTCAAGCTGTTGTTGCTCCATCGTACCAGTAGGTGGTGCACTTTCTATTTTCTGTATGGAGGTGGGTTTTGGCTTCTGGTGCTGTATGGATGCTGACCCCTGTCTCCAGACATGCTCCAAATAAAATAAAATAAAATAAACAGAAGCTCAAAGTGCACTCATCATTCTGTGCTTCTTTACTGCTTTTTTATCTTAACCACACATGGCAACGTGTATGAAAACCAGACTTGTTGCCCCAGCCACGAAGTTCTGCTAACCCCCACTTCCCATCCCTGAATCCATGTGACTGTGGAGCTACCTTCACTGTGACTTCTTGGTACATGTCAGTAAAAGCTCAAGGTGGGCTGTGATGTGGAGCTTCAATCTTCAGATAAAGCTTTGAAGATGAGAGGTGCTGTCTGCTGCAATTACCCAGTCGTGCCCAGGTGTTTCCCATTATATCATCTGTCTGGGAACATGTTTCCACAACCGATTCGAGCAGAAAACAACTCATAAAAACTTTGACCAGAGATCATCTTGGCCTAGAAGTGTTTGAACTCAGATTATTTCATGGGAGACAACTATCAGATACTGTTTGCTATGGTGGCCATTTTGAATAGTTAACTATAGGTTAATGTGCTGATGCATGCTCAATAATCCAGATAGGCTGAGTCAAGTGATTCTTCTGCCATCCAGAGGACCTGACTCCACCTTATTAGATCTAAACGTTGATCCACGGTAAATGTTCATACGATCATTTATTTTTGAGGGTTTTAACAGTGGTGTAGTCTACATTTTTGTAGTGGGTGTACCGCGGTAAAGTTGGGTTTACGTTGGACACCGTTGAAGCCATGGAGCGCCAATGTCCAACGGAAAACTAACTTTACCGCGGTCGGTCCGTATACTGTGCTTAGAAACCAAAGTACACCGGTTAGTACAATGTAATCGTCAATTAATTTTGATTTTTAAGCGTATTGAACATTTCCAAATTTCTCTGTTGCTTATATTTGAATAAATGAACAACAAACTTTGTACAACAGTTGGCTTCATATTAAAAACATGTTAAAGAATTTATAAAACGGTATCAACGTAAAACATGTTCAAGTATTAAGTAGTGAGTACAGAAGTATTAATTATACAATAATTCGCTGGATACACAAATTTTAATAAACGAGCGCTGCATACAGATTGTTACGGAAGCGTTTGAGGTTTTAACATCAGTGACGTGTCGTGTATCAATGGTCACTTTTAAGTGGTTATACTGAATTCTTAAGCTTTTCTAGTGGGTATTCCCGTGTATCACGTAGACCACTGGGTTTTAATCCGCTTCTGGTTCATGTATTTTGCGAACAGTAAAGACAAACGTACAAGATGTATGCAAAACCATCCTTTTGGCACCTGGCAACCCGATCTCTTTTCACGTCTTTTAATGTATCGAAAGCAGATGCTGAGATAAAGACGTCGGGTAAATTTCACATTTGTCTACCATTGCATGTGCAGCTGATATGAAACTTGGATTCATTTATGTAGTTTGTCCCAGTGAGCTGTACGAGTCCAAATCCAGTTTAAAACAGATTCAAAACATTGCAGTCAGTTTATTCCTGATGCGGTACTTAACGAAATGCCAGTTACCGTATTTTTCAGATTGGAAGGTGCACTTAAAATCCTTTTAATTTTCTCAAAAATCAACAGTGAGCCTTATGTACTCCGGTTGCGCTTACTGACCTCGAACTGATTTTATGTGGTACATGGCGCTCAAAAATCTGTCATGTTTTTTTAGTTTCGCTTAATGCGCCTTATAGTCCGAAAAATACGGTAGTATGATTTTCATCAGAAACTAGCAAATGGCATCAAATCTTTGCTTCGGTGTAGTCCTTCATCTTGAGCAGCACGGTGGCTACAGTGGAAAGGAACAACTGTTTGACAGAGGGAGTCCTCAACATGAGGCAGATGTTCACCTGGACTTCTTCTCCAGTCCTGTTTGTGGTGTTGGAGTGGAAGGGCTCTAGTTTTAGAAGCTTAAGGTTGCAGATGTATTTTTGATCTTGACCCTCGGCGTGCGGTGGAGCGTGTTCTAGCTGAGGGTGAAGCAGCTGGGATGAGTCGGCTCCTCTCTAGTCCACAGCCATGGTTCTGGAAAAAGGAATGCTCCCTCTGAGTGGGTCTTTCTCCTGCAGAGGAGTTCAAGTATCCACTTGTTTATGGGTGATGGTGAGATGAAGTGAGATGGACCAGGGCTTTATCTACAGCGGGGGGTGTCCAAACATTTTCACATCTGTGCCAAAACTATCAAGATATTTGATTTGAACTTGAAAATGAAAGAACTCGTGGGCCACAAAAAATGTGAATTTAACTCTCAACGTGAACAATATTTTGGAGAAAGAACTCATTTTGGTGGAGAAAGAGTTTTAAATGGTTGTAGATCCAAAACATTTAAAAGTCTCAAAAACACTAAGCTTTTTTTTTTTTTTATCAAAAAGGATTTGATTTATTTGATTTGTTGGATCTGTTTGTTGTTTTCTTATGTTTGGAAAGTTCATTTTAGTCTGTTCTCAGCAACAAAAGGCTGATTGAAGTTCTGAAAAATCGTCTCCGTCAGTCGCTACAACAGATTCGTAGAAGGTTTGATAAAGTTGATCAACTCGTATGCAGATGATACCATGTTGTATACGTTTAAAAATGCCCAACTTCCCTCTTTTATCAACTACAATACTTAAACAAGTTTTATGAATCATCCAAAAGTTGCCTTTCTGGCAGAAATCTGTAACGGTTTGTGTTTTTTTGTACCATGAAGTGAAAATAAAAAGATTATAGCCAAAGGTTTGTATTTTGTTTAATATTGCTCATTTTGAGAAGATTGTTTTTCATCCATTTTGACGTTAAACCTAAATATCATACGATTGCCAATGAAGTTGCAGAAAGTCTGCATCAACCTCTTAAACCTGCTGGCCAAATTGATACCGTTATCAAACTGCAGTTGTGGGCCGCACAAAATTACTCCCAATGGCCACAAATGGCCCTCGGGCCACACTTTGGACACCCGTGCTCTACAATAATGATTGTCTAGGGGTCTGATTTGAATTGGTGCATTGTGGTCTCCTAAACTTGGATGTTTTAGTTTGTCCTTCTAGGAAACCCTCTACATCTCACCAGAGGAGTTATGAATCTTCACTCCAGAACTTGGATGAAAGTATCATAGTCCCAATTTATTAGATTTCCATGAGGAATTAGGAGATGACGAGTATAGGTTCCAGTGGAAGATTTGTAGTCCTTCAACATACTTCCTCTTGCAGGTTGATCGTTTAGATTTTTCCCTGCAGCTCCATGAGATGATCCTGCTTATTTATTTTCCAAGTTGAAAAATGATGACCTTTAACCTCTCATCCACCCTCTGCTCAGTTTATTTCGCCTAATCTCTTTGTCTCTCTTCTACCAGAAAGCTCAAACACTCCCCCCCCCCCCCCCATCCCTCCACAGCTGCAGTAGTAAACACTAGACTTGGACACATTCAGTGAACAAACCCACTCAGGATAAACAGCAGCGGGGGTTCCTCACCTGTGACAAACGATGACAAACGGAGGCATCCGGATGAAATGACAGCTCGAGTCCGCCGGTGAAACAAACATAAACACGCTCGCTTAAGGAAAGCAAAGTGATTCGAGGCAGCGGTGGATAATTGTGGACGCACGTCAAAAACAAGATGCAGAGCCGCCGCTCGTGCTCGGGCTGTTGTAACTGGCTGCTCTGGCAGGAAACTAAACATCCTGCGCTGCCAGAGGCACATCGAAGGGCTCGTATAGGGAAATTAGAGGTATAGATTAGTTAGATGTGACTTATTCCAGTTTCTTTTTACTCTTTCTCTCAGGAGTGAATCACTGGATGTAATCTTCCAGCTGATAAATGCTAGATGAGCCAATTCAAGATGGCTACCACAGTTTAACAACCTTACACAAAAACGCCTACAAGTGTCGATTTTGCAGAAATTGAGCTAAAATGTAATTCTGTATTAACTGAGGTACTTCATCATCACATCTGATTGACGTGAACAAACACTCTTTAGGGTTTTTTTTGGACATTTTTTTATCCTTGTGGTTCAAACTCAGCAGCGGAGAAATGGACTGAGCCACCTCTTCTAACATCACTGGATGCAGGAGGCCTCTTGCATGTGAGACGGGAAGTGTTGGGCACCATGCTCACCTCTGAGATGGATGGAGGACAAAGA